GAAAGAGGTGAGAGACAGGAGAAATAGTTTAGCCTGTTAGCTTGGCTGATAGGCCTGTTGGCTCGCTGGAGACACAGCCCTGTTTTCAGCTCTGTGACCCACATGCTTTTCAGCATGTTCCTCTGGACACTGCTGGCCTGGAGGACAGGTAGGGTTAGGCTGAGGGAAAGGGGTGCCTCACTCCCCCATTCTGGCCCCAGAATGTATCCACAACCCATGTTCAGATACTGCCTTGGACTGATGATGCTGGAGGTGAGGTTTGGGGGAGAGAAGAGGATGGCATCTGTCCCCAGCTTCCTCCTCTATGGGAGAATGGAGCCAAGATCTCCACCTCCCAGCTGGTCTAGCTGATGGCAGGAGGAGTGTTACATTCCTTCCCAGCAAAGGGGCTCCAGCCTCAAACCAACCAGCTGGACAAACCAAGATGTTTGCTCCCCCAATACTGACATGCAGAGTTTTATCCCTCCCCTGTTCCCAGCTCTTTTGGTACCTGCTCCTAGAATAAACCTCGCACACTAGGCACAGGGCTGGAAATGCTTTTGGCATTGACAGCTACTACACAGCTCTATGTTGTGCCCAGGTGGGGACTTTCTGAGGATGACAACTCTGATGGGACCACTTCTGGTTTGGTTTCAGTGATCCAGATACATATTCCCTTTCTATGTCTCACAGGGAAGCTCTCCCTGGTACTTGGACTTTTCGTATCATTCCTCTGCCCCCAAAATAAGCATTTGGACTGAAAACAGAAGGTGAGGTTGCACCTGGAAACATTAGTTTCTCTGTCACAGGCATAGAAATATGTCTGCATGTTTTTGAGTTCTGGAACTGGAATAATACCACATACAGATACAGGCTCAGCTTCACTTGAATAAACACGTGGTTTGGGCTCTTACCCTCTTCTGCAGTGTTTGTAGGGATGTGCTGTGGTTACCAGAGTGTGTGCCCCAAGGCCAGCTTATCATGATTATGGAGATTGCAGAATCTGTGCAAGAAACAATCCTCTAGCTTGTGCATTCTCTTTCGGGCCAGGGAATTAGCAAGTGCTCCCTGGGGAGCACTGGCAATGCAAGCGCCTGAAGCAGAAGCACTGCAAGGGGCATGTGAGCATGAGTCTCTGGCTGCAAGTGTTCCTGGTATCAGTGCAGATTTGGGGATGTCAGCAAACTGCCTGGAATCACACCAAGCTCTCTTCAGCACTACACAGCTGTAATGAGGCCATTCCCGTACAGCTGCAAGTATCCCCAGAGGCAACTGCCAAAGGCTCCTAAAGTTTAGGAAGCAGGATGCAGTCTTCTGATTGGCCTGTTGTGCACTACCCAACAGCTGGTACAAGTTAAATACCCCACTTGGCATGGCAGCCTCTCCTCTGTCTGGGAATGCTGCTCCCTGGCAGCTGGACTCTGCTCTCTGGGACCCCAAAGGTCACTGCACCTCATCTGTGAACACGTGGATTGCTCCCATAGCACCCACCCATTCCCAAGCAGAGAGGATTCCACAGGGACAGCTTCAGTTGCTCTGAATGTGAATTTGCGTGGTGGCAGGTGCAGCACAGAAATTTTATGTCTGGCTTAGGCTTTTCTGTTTTATAGTAACCTTGAGTTCCATGAATGCTGCTTGTGTGACAGAGGGATGAGCTTTCCTCTGGAAAGCTGGGATGGCCAGTACTGAAGTGCATGCTACTTATTTTTTTCTAGCTCTGCCTCAGTGCCCAAGCAAAGCAAATTCAAATGGCAGTGTTAGCTCTCAGTACAGGCAAAATCCCCCCTGCAGCCCCCTGAAGAAGAGAGTACCCCATGCAGTATGGATGTGTGGGAAGCAGGGAGCTTACACAGGTCCTGGCAGGAGTGGGAGAGATAGATGGATGGGAGCCTGCCACATGGTCTGGTTGAGTACCTCAATCTCTTCTCATGCTGCCTAACTCCTCTGAGACCAGGAAGCTTCCCTGTATGCAAGGGAGAGCAACTCGGGCTGCCACCGTTTTTTTTATTCTTACCTCTAGTTGATTGCACTGGCTTAGGCTGTGCTCAGGATTATACCCCATGCAAGGCTGTGGCACTGAGAGCCTTATTCCATGAGACTGAGAAAGGTATTAGCAAAGCTGGAGAAGAGCTGACAGCTCAGCCAGAAGCCAACTTCATCTTATTAACCACCCAGACAGTGCCTGTGTTGCCTAGTACAGTCTCTGGGTGCTTCACTCTGCATCTTTCCCCCATCCTGCTCATTGTCAAGCGTCCTTTCTTTGCTCTCTCTCGCAAGGCAGATCGGCTGCTAGTCAGCCCTCCTCAAGGGCTGCTCTAAAAAGAACAAAAAGACAGGGAGTACCTGTGCACACCCTCTGCAAATCAAGGGAGGCAACCAGGCAAATGTCCCCCTGACTGGTACAACTTGCAGTGAAATCACTTGGGAGTACTGGCACACCACATAGCCTGGTTGCAGTCCAAATTTGACATCCCTTGATATGCACATGAGCAGCTCATGCTTTACTTGGAAAAACTGTTTCTGCCTGTCAGGGAGACAGCCACTCTTAATAAGACAGCTTATTTCTTGAGCATCTAGGAATGGAAATTTGAGGAGCTTGGTGAGTTCTTTTCAGGGACAGCCAGTGGCCAGGAGCAGAGTTCCAGGAAGGATGTGGTGGCAGGTCGGTAAAAAGCCACAGCTTTGAGGTTCTCCCTGGTCACCTGCTGCTAATGACCCATCTACATGAAGGCAAAGTAGTGCTTCAGTCCCTTTTACAGATGGGAGCTGAGACACAGTGAGCATGGAGAGGTGGCTTTGTACGTGGCTGGATCAGGGAACTCCCTGATGCAGAACAGAAACAAATCTTTATCTCTGCTGGGTTAGCTCTGATCCACCCTCTTGCCTGCAGCCAGGACAGGGAGACAACATGCACAGAGGGAAAGCAAAGTCTCTTAAGCGACATATACAAACTGTGACACTGATGCTGGGGCACTGAGATGTTAAGAGACTCGCATGGAGTCACTCAGAGCATCTCTGGCACAGTGGGATGTCTCCAAGTCCCTATTTAGCATGTTCTCAGGAAGCTGCCACTCACCCTCACAGCTTCCTCATTGTCCCCTGGAAGAATTAGCAACCTTTGCCCATTCTCCCATTTTGTGACCAGGTTTATGACAATGCTTCTGAGTTTCACTTGGCTCTGGACAGCTCCTCTGAGCAGCGGGAAAACGGAGAGCACGGGCAACAAGGTTCCTCTCTTACGTCTGCTGCTCGGGGTTAGCAGGGGCGAAGGTGATGTGATGGAGGTAATTATTCCCAAGGATGAGAACTCAGTGGCAAAGTTGGGACTGATTTTTCTATAAAGGGTTCGGTTATGATTGGCAGGGAGAATGGTTCCCAGTAACCATCTGGTGAGGGTAACAAAAGGACCAACAGAGAGCCTTGGTGGGGGCAGGCAGCAGGTCATGGCAGGGATGCCTGAGAGCCAGCACAGCCAGCTCCTGTGTCAAGGGAAGGCCAAGAAGGGCAGGAGGAGGCAGGGTGTAAGGGGAGAGGCACAGTGGTGCTGGGGGGACAACACAGGCTGCTGGTCTGGCCAGACAGAGCAGGGAGAGGAGCAGCGGGACAGGGAGCAGACAGCTTAAACTCCCAGTTTCCCTGGACTT